TTTTTTTCTTAAGTCAAATTATTTCAATTTATTTTATTATTTGCTATATCAATTTTTGACATATTTCTAAATTTACTACTTTTTTAGTTGTATTTTATCATATATTTTTCTCAAAATACAATTAAATAATTGTTTATTAATAACCAAAAATTTCGAAGGATGGTATATTTCATATTGAACATTGTCAAGTTTGATTTTAGATACAAATTTACATCTTTTTAATTATGTGTTACTTCTTTGGGTCATTTTTAGTTACTCAATTTTATCCATTTCATGTTAATTAACTTACTAATTTTATATATACAAATTAATGAAAACTAATTTTTTCATTTAAATGAAAATATTTAACAAACACTATATTTAAAAAGAAAAAAGTTTTTAATTATCATTTATTTACTAAACAAAGTCATCAAATCATCAAATCAATCTTAAAGCAAAAGTTAAATTAACATAACTAAAATAGATCAAAGAAAATAGTAATTCAAACACAAATTTGATTTAATTGTAGACAAATTTAGCCCCCATTCATCTCAAATCCTGGTTCCGTTACTGCACGTACACTCTGTTTGAACTTTGAACCATAGTTTAGAAACAAAGCTATGATACCTGCAACCGTGGAGATGCCAACCTTCCAGCTGCTGAAGTAATGGTACACCAATTGCGCTCTGATCTTGGCATAGTAAGTATCATAATATTGATTAGCTTCGGATACAACTTTGTGTAGGTAGGATTGATCTGCATTCCTTGTTATTTCCTTGCACAGGCTATTCACAAGTTTAGCCACCTCTTTGTTGTTGCCTATAGAATGCTGGATGACCTCTTCACGATGAAGAAGTTCCACATCCTCTGCTGAGTTTATAAGTTCATCGAAGAAGAACAAATAAGATGTGACATCTGGTGTGCACTTGTGATGGCATTGTTCAAATGCCACCATGTTACGAAATACAGTTCCCTTGTGATCATCTATGTACAGAGGAGGGATTTGCAGTACCCTTCCTTCTGAGCGTACATCCAATGGGGGACGGTTTTTACCTTTCTCAATTATGAACCCGGCTTCTTTCAGCTTTATGACAGACCTTATTGTCTCATTTACTTCTCCCGCTATTAATCCTTTGTTTGCTGTAATACTGGAGTCCTTTCTATTGTTGGTTTCTTCTGTATCTGAACATCTTGGAAGGATGCTAGAGCGGAAAAGATCCAGAAAGTGCCTTTTCCCCTTCGCTTCTTTGTTAATGCACTGCAGAGCTGAATTTGAGTCTCTTTGCAATAGAGGGTTGAAGAATTGATGTGTAAGATCCTGTAGAGATGTGCTTGATTCTTCTGGACTGCTTGTTAGCTCAAACAACTTCTGCAAAACAAACAGTGGGAGTTGGTTTTCGAGCATAATCAAGTCACGGCGAAGAGTTGGCAGCATCCACCTTTGAATAGAAGGTGCATATATGAAGTTGTGCTGTTCTAACTCTTTGAAGAGCTCAACAATGAAGCAGCCATCAATCAGCATCATTTTTACAAAATTTTCACTGCTAAGCTGAATTTTACCCCAGTAGCAGCCTCGAGCCTCCTCTTCTAATTCTTCCATGGCATTGATCACCGGATCTAATTTGATTCTAGGCCGAGAAGAGTCAAAAAGGCGGTGAAAGAATTTCCATTTTAGCTGTTCCATTTCTTGAAGTCTTTCCTCT